ACGTTTCACTCAAATGAGAGAAAGAATCCGGAGTTCTGACATCCGTCGACGATCAAGAATCAGGGACACTGTCTCATTTGCCAAGGTGTCAAAAATCAGATGGGCTGGTCACGTAATGAGATTTAAAGACGACCACTGGACTAGAGCTGTTACTGACCGGATTCCACGGGATGTCAAAAGACCGTGTGGCCGCCCACCTACCAGATGGTCAGACTTCTTCGTGAAGATCATGAACGATCAGTTTGAGGCTCTTCATGTTCCCAGAGCGAACAGATGCTATTGGGCTACACTAGCACGCGACAGGGACAAATGGAGACGTTACTGGCGCCCGCTCGAGCAAATCGACGACTAACGGGAAGTTAAGTGATTAAGTGATTATTGGTTCAGATTTTTATTTATTTTTAACTTGGCAGGGGGCCACACTCAATAGTGCTCAGGAGCTACTCCTGATCTGTGCGTGGAGGATGGTCCAGGCAGAGCTCAAAGGAGCATTTGCCGTGCCAGGGGTCAAACCCAGCCCTGCACAGGCATAGCATGTATTCAGATCATTGAGCTACATCTCCAGTCCTCCAAAAATTCTTAAAATAATTGACCCTATACTCTTTTTCTTCTCTTATCCCTTCTTAGAGTCACTCCAATCAGATTTTTGCTTTTCTCCCAAACTTCCAGTAGCTTTATGAAATCTGCCTTTGTCAAGATAATAGCTTCACTGATCAAAGCAATGGTCAGTTTTCAGTCCTACTCATCTTTGGACTCCACAATATTCTCTTGCTTGTCATTTATTTTCCTTTTCATCTTCAACTTTCTTGCTCTTTTTCTTTCACATTCTCCTCTACATCATTCTGACCTTTCCTACTCATTGAAATACAATGGACTCAGTCATTAGACTTCTATTTTTATATCTATACACCTCTAAGAAATTTTATATTCCTTTTTGGTTTTAAATGTCATCTACATATTGATGATTATACCAATTTTTAAATGTCATAATACACGTCCTTCTCCTTTACTCCAGACTTAGATATTCAACATCCTATATAATATCTTGAGTTTAATGTGAACAATTGAACTTATGTACTATCCCTTCTTCTAGTTTTTTAGGTGTCAAAGATTGGCATCATCACTGATTTTATCCTTTATCCTTTAAATCCTAATATCTGGCTCTCTCTTATGCTCATCTCTTCAACTAAGGTCTAATCCTACATTCTACTTGCTGTTCTACATATATTCTCAAATCAGACTTTTGTACTGGGAAATTTCTACCTGAAAATCTTATCCCTCGAATGTCAGTATTCCCTTCTCATTTCCCTTTAGGTGTTTTCTAAGTATATGGTGAATGGGTGAATATTAGGAAGAACAGAAAATCAACTATGGACATAACTAAAGTCATAATTATCTTTTCTGACTAATTTAGTCATTAGTACATGAGAGCGTTTTAAATAAAGTTACTCGCATGTATAAGAACACAATGTGAAGAAAGGAATAATCAGAAAAAGATCTCTTGAAAATTAGAAATAGGGCTGCTCCAGGGAGATAGAGCAAAGGGACGGAGCACATGCTTTCCATGATGAAGCCCCAAATTCAATCCCCTGTAACACTTGAGTCCACAAGCACTGGCAAGGTGTGGCTGTGGTGACCCTGAGGTCCCCTGGGCTCCAGCACCAAGCCATCGGGTTTTCTCAGACTAAGTCTTGCTGGGCTTCTGAGCACAGCTAAAGAGGATCCCCTCAAAAGTTAGAGCTATAACTTATTGTTCTAAAATAAAAGGAAGGAAATAAGACAAATTAGGGCAATCTCATAGAAGTTGGAATGGTAAAAGAGAAACACACGGGAGAGAAGGAGAAGACAGAAGTAGAGAAGAAATTATAGAAAAGGGATGAAACAGTAAGAGAAAATTATAGGGAATTATTTGTTTTTAATTTCCCTAGTTTGAAGAGGGATCTTTAAATTAAAAGTACCTTTGAATTTCAAAACAGGATTTAAATGCCTGAAGTTTGCCACCTTTTAATAAAATTCTTCGAACAGAAAAGATTCGGAGATGATCATATCACTTTTGTTCAGGAAAAAAAAATTTAATATAAAACAGAAAAAAAGAAGAGTAGATTTTTATCTACCTATCACCTAAAACAAATCAATGGCAAAAGGTAGATATTTAAAACTTCTACTAAGATATAAAATTAATGTATGAATTTGATGCTTCTATTCCCTTTCCCAATTCCACCATCCTGAAAGAAAATGATTTTTGAACCCAGAATTCCACATCCAGCTAAATTATTAATCAAACATGCGGGCAACATATAGTCACTTTCAAATAGGCAAGGACTCAGAAATTTTACTTCTCAGGCACCTTTTCTGAGGAAATTACTTGAAGATGTTCTCCAACGTAAACTCAGAAAGAAGATGTAGAACTAACCTAGGAAAAAAGAAATCCCGAGATGAGAGATGTGCAGTTGCTCAAGAAATTAATTAACCAGTAGTCTCCAACGTAAAATGTCTCCAAAGAAGAATGGAATAAAACCAAGTAATAGTTAATAAAGAAATAGAAAATGATGGTCCTTGGTAGAAAAAAATATTTTTCTCTGTAAGAAACATAAATAAATAAGTATGTAAATAAACAAGTATGGCCGACCCGAGTCCGATTCCTCCGCCCCTCTCGGAGAGCCCGGCCAGCTACCGAGAGTATCTCGCCCGCACGGCAGAGCCTGGCAAGCTCCCCGTGACGTATTCGATATGCCAAACACAGTAACAAGTCTCATGATGGAGACATTACTGGGCCCGCTCGAGCAAATCGATGAACAACGGGAGGGCCTTTACTTTTACTTTACTAAGTATGTAAATGTAACTAGAAACCTCAGAACACAGGACCAGAGAAATAGCACAGTGGCTAAGGCACTTTCTTTGCACTCAACTGACCCTGGTTCAATCCCAGGCACCATATATGATCGCCTTAGCACTGCCAGGAATAATCCCTGAGCACAGAACCAGGAGTAAGCCCCAAGCATAGCCAATTGTGGGTACAAAAAACAAAAGAAGAAAAAAGAAAGAAAAGAAAAGCCTAAAAATAATAAAACCTATATTTAAAAATGAAAAATGGTTTAAACATAAAGCAAACTAAAATATGGCATTATTCTAAACAGGTACACTGTTCATTAGTAGGCCGACCACACCTTAATTTAGTAATCAAAATCGGTTAACACTGAGCCCGCAATTTTAATAGAAAACAAAGGAGAAAGGTCTAAACAAACAGAAGGAAAGAAAAATAAGGCAAAGTCTGAGAGGATGAAAGAGAGGTGACAATCTGCTAGCCCCTAAAATATATAAAGGATTCCATGTCCTTTTTCAACCTTATTCTGGCTTTTGACTCCTAAAAAAATATCTTTCACTACATCATAAGGAGTTATTCTATGCATGACTCTTATTGCTTCTTTTCAAAATTAAGTTATTTTAATATATTTCCCTAAACCCAACTAGATATCTTTAATTTTTATTTTTCACATTTAGTATATCAAAATCACTCTTTCTCCAATCCAACAGTTCATTGCATTTCCTCACAACTAGTAAAAGCCATCTGCTCTTTCATCTAAAAGAGAAATCTTAATTACCTTCAGTTACCCACACCCAGTTCAATTCCATTTCAATTGTTTTAAATAAGATTAAATAGAGTCCCCCAAGCACTGTGAGAGGTGATTCCCTGAGCGCAGATCCGGACGTAAACCCAGAACATAGCCATGTTTAGCACCCAAAAACAAACAAGCAAAAATAAAAAATATGGTTTGAACATCAAAACAATTAAACTTTTTTACACAAATTAAGTGTTAATGGTACATCTGCTTCAGTCTGATGTAGGGATAAAGCAGTGGAGGAATATGCTTCCTTCTGCCACCATGACTATGTGCATCCCTTAGCTCTGTATCTACCGTTTGTATATATAGAATGGATGCAAATGCCCAACATACATTCTATAAACTTGAATACATTTTAAAGTAAAACAAGGTTTATTATTGATGATTGGAAAAACGAAGGGAATAACATTTTCATAAAGAAATATTGGCATAAAGATTCTGTTTCAAGAAAACCAGGGAGCTGGCTCGAGGGACTAGTGCACAAGCTTTGCATGTGGAAGGTTCAGGTTCAATAGCCAACACCACAGGCCCACGTGCCAAGTACCAGATCAAGGAATGACCCCTGAGCAACATGCCAAGAGTAGCTGCTAATCCCATCAGCTGTTGTTCCAAAGCAAACGAACCAAAACACGAATAATTAGTGTCAGCGAGATAGCTCGAAAGGCTGGAGCTCATGCCTGGCATATAGATGGAGTCCAGGGGGGTTCTATTCCTGGCAATGGATGGGCCACCAAGCTCCTCATTACAAAACCTTATCACTGAACCATCAGCCCATACAGATTGCAATCGACCAGATTGTGGGTCCTGGACCCCGTGTACTTCTGCTTAGGAGAAGCCCCTACCAAAAAACTGATAAACATAGCAAGAGAATGTCCAATGTCCAATTAAACCAAAGCCTTCAACTCTTACAACAGAAACGAGGTTACCAAGGCAGGATTGGAGCAAGGGGTTTGGTGGACAGGAAGGAGTCTATGGACTATGGCGGAGAGACACTGGCATTGGTGGTGGGAATGGCATGGTAATCGCAAATTTTGTATATACCTAAAACACAAACATGTACACTTTTTTTAAACCATCATTACCTCAATAAATAAAATAATGTCACATTTAAAAGGCCAAAATTAAAAGAAGTAACATGGTGTTTTATTTATTATTCTTCCAATAATATTAGGCTTTTAATTCTGTACTTAATTTAAAAAATCAAGCAAACATTATGGAAAAGATTCTCAAAATCTAAGGCAGCAAAACTTTTTCTAAATTAGAATGTTACTTCCCCTACTAATATATGTTATATGTAATATACAATGTATGTGAAAAGACATTTACATGGAAAATTTATTTCTCCATAAAAAATCGAAAGTGATAACATCTACTTACCAACCCAATGCAGTTGCTTAAAGCCACTCTAGTTGTACTACGTTGATCTTGCAAGTATCCTGTGTAATGACAGTTGTCTAAAAAATCATGTTTCCACTTGGGTCCATCTTTCCCCCAGTATTCTACTGTAAAATGTTTGGATACAAAATCTGTGTTGAGAGTCAAGTTTAGGTGAAAGTGCTTGCCATAGGCTGAAAGTTTAAAAAATAACTTAGGTACTGTCTGCTGTGGATCAAGAGGGTCCATACTCCGTCTTCTCCTGGAGTGTTTGTCATTTTTCACAGTAAAGCTGAGAAAAGCTCCATTTTGATCAACCCTTATTGGAATAGTTAGCTGGTAGTGTTCTAGATAAGTCAGGAATTCCTCTTTGTAATCGCAAGGTAGAGTATCCAGATGGGGGAAAACGGAAGAAAAGAAAAATTAACAGAACAAAGAAGTAACAGAATAAACAACAACTACATTGATTAAAACTAGGCATCATTATATGTCTAGTAGGGGTCAAAAATGTTATATTAAGCAAAAATTTAAGAGTATAGATTTAAAAACCAAATATAGTTGAGTTCTATTTTATTGTCCTAAAATTATATCATTAAAAATTATTTGGGAAGACCCTTACAACTTTAATTTTTAAAACATGATACTAAGGAAAAAATTCAATTCAGGAGATTTATTTCAAACCGAAATTTAAAAATCGTGTAAAGTATACATATACAAGTAAATATATAAAATAAAGTTTAATTTAGATAAAATAAAAGCTATCAAAAGATACAGTCTTGTATAATTAGTTATTTTTTTAGACGATGTGATGACACCCTGCTGTATTAAGGGCTTATCCGGGCTTATCCTGAGCTCTGTGCTTAGGGAAAATTTTTGGAGGGACTGAGGAGACTTTGTGAGGTGCCAGGAATAGAACCAGGATTGGCCAGGTGCAAGGCAAATGTCTTACACACTGGACTACATCTCCAGACCCAGAAAATACTTTTCTTAATCATAATTTGTGTTATAAAATACTATAGCCTCTATGGAAAACAGTGTGGTAGTTCCTCACAAGGTTAAACATGTAATTAACCCTTTGAACCAGCAGGTCCATTCCTAAGTATGGACCCACAAGGTTGAAAACACATCCCCAAAGAAACCCATACAAGAACTTTGATAGAAGCATTATTGATAATGCTCAGATAGGAGTGCAATAACCCAAATGTCTCACAATCACAAATCACAAATCATCCTGTTATTCGTCGATTGCCTCAAGCAGGCCCCAGTAACATCTCCTTCATCCTAGCCCTGAGATTATATTCAAGGCTCTTTAGGAGAATGAGACCCATCATTGTTACTGGTATTTGGCATATTGAGTACGCCACGGGGAGTTTGCCAGACGCTGCCGTGTGGGCAGGCTACATTCGGTAACCTGCCAGTTTGTCCAAAATAGGAATGAGATAATAAGATGTCATAATAAGATGTCGCGCAGCCACAAATGCGGCCGCGCGGTTCCGGGAGCTGATTTTTATAGTCTCTGGGTCTTGGCCGTTGATGGGATTACACCCAAATGTCTATGAAGTGACAAATAAAAAACTAAAGTTTGTTATATTCCTAAAATAGAGTATTTTCCACAATAAAAAGGAATGCAGTATTATGCTACAATCTGAACAAAACTTCATAATTAAAGTTTATCATCTAACATTAAAACATAGTATGCTAACTAAAACAAATGGTCTCAAAAAGGTCATAGAGCATATGATTACATTTACGTGAACTATTCAGAACAGGAAAATCTCTAGAAACAGAATTACATATGAGGTTTCATATGTAATATAAGGCATGTTGATGGTAATATAGGTAGAATTTAAAATTTGGGAGTAATTTTGTTTTGTTTTGTTTTGTTTTGAGGTCACAGCTGGCAATGTTCAGAGTTCCCTTCTAGCTTATTTCTCAGGGATAACTCCAGGGAGGCGAGGATAGCACAGCGGGTAGAGCGTCTGCCTTGCACGCAGCCAACATGGCCGACCCGAGTTCGATTCCTCTGCCCCTCTCGGAGAGCCCGGCAAGCTACCGAGAGTATTCGATATGCCAGACACAGTAACAACAAAGTCTCCAATGGAGACGTTACTGGGCCCGCTCGAGCAAATCGATGATCAACGGGAGGGCCTTTATTATTATTAACTCCAGGGAAGCTGCTGAAAATTGAACTCAGGTTAGGTACAAGTAAGGTTAGCACCTTGTCCAGTTCATTTTTTAATGAGTACATAGCCTCTTTCAAGGATGATGAAAATATTCTTGCTCTGACTATAGTGACAAGGTTGTACAGATATTACAGCAAGTGGGGTTCAATCCTCAGCACCCCATATGATCCCCCATGCACTGCCAGGAGTAACTCCTATGTGTAAACCCTGAGCATCAATGGAACAACCCAAAACAAACAAAACCAAAAAGTTTTGTACAGTTCTATCAAAAACTGCTGAACTGGGGCTGGAGCAGTATGATAGCAGATTAGGCATTTGCCTTGCTTACAGTCAACCAGGTTCAATCCCCAGCATCTCATATGGTCCCCAAACCCACCAGGAGTGATTCCTGAATGCAGAGCCAGAAGTAACTCCTCGTCATCACAGAATGTGACCCAAAAAGTCAAAAACAAAAACAAAAAAATTGCGGAATTGTACATTCTAAATGGCTAGACCATACATAGGATGTGTGTTATCACTCAATAAAACTATGTTAAAAGCGTTCAAACTGACAAAAATTTAATTATTAAATATATTTTCCTAACTTAGTTGTACCACATATTACCTATTTACCTTCCTAAACACATCTTCCTTTAGCAATATTGGCCATTAAGAGAAACCAAATACCTCCTCATTGCCTCACTATCTATAGATGGAGTCTACCAGCAGGAATAAAATATCATAAAACAATAACTAAGTGGAAACAAATTGAAAAATATCAGGCTGGAAATATAGTACAGCGAGTGAGGGCTTAATCCTGAGAACTGCCAGGAGTGATCCCTGAGCAGAGAACTAGGAATAAACCCTGAGCATCACCAAGTGTGGCTCAAGCCACCAACCTCCCAAAAAGCTTATTTCACTTCATTTTTGTTTTGTTTTAGGGTCATACACAGCAGTGCTCAGAGTTTGTTCCTGGCTCTTGAGGATGAGCCGAAGTTGGCCACATGAAAGACTGCCTACTGTACTATTCATCCAGCCCCTAGTTTAAGTCTTATAAATAAGAATTCATACTAAATGCTATGACTCTGTTGATCTACTCTGAAAGTCACATTATATATATGTATATATAATATATGTATGTATATATGTATATATGTGTGTGTACATCTATAAGTACACATATGTATAGATTGATACAGGCTTCTAAACATATGCTTCTAAACAATCAATCTTGTTACTATACACTCTTGGAAAGGAAATCTAAAAATTATGCCTTTCAATAATTCTAAGAATTGGACTAGTTATGAATGGTATTCATGGTATTCACTTTGGGCAGGGCTTCAGAGCAAGTAAGGCACTTGCCTTGCATACAGCTGACCCAGGTTCAATTCCCCGCAATGTATATAGTTCTCCAAACATATTTAGACGTGATCCCTGAGCACAGAATCAGGAGCAAGCCCTGAGAACTGCAGGTGTGGCCAAAATACAAACAAATCAAGATGGTGTTCATTCCACAACCTTTGTCAAGATCTCATCTCTTATCTACTATGATATAAAAGTTAAACTACTTGAACTTTATAGGGAACTATAGTTATTATTTGGAAAATCAACTTTTACCGTTCATATTTCTTTATCTAGATGAGCCAGGATTTAGTCCTTAAGTTTAAGTTTGGAAAAGCATATTTTTTACTAAGTGTTCATACTAACAGGATCTTGTCTTACAGGATGCATGGCTTTTCTTTTACAACAAAACCCTTTGAATTCCTTTTGAACATAACCTTGCCTTTAAAGTCTAACAGTGAAGTCTAACAGTGAAATAGTCTGTTAAAGTTCCGACTCAGAAGAAGAGGTCCTGGGTCTATCATGTTCTAAGAAAGAACAATCTATTGGATATGACATACAAGCAGAAGTTAAAAAGATCCCTCTGAGCTTTTAACAGCCATGAAACTAGTTCTGAATTGATACAGCAGAGCTCTACTAGCACTACATATTCCCAAAGAAAGTGTTCACTCAAACTAAGTTCTCAGGGTTTTTTCTAGTTAGATTAGAAGCAATATTTTTTGTCAGTTTCAGAAGCAGGATTCCTACCTTGAGAACTGTATGAAAGTCTGTGGTCACTACGAAATTCCGATGATGCCATGATGAGGCTCAAAATCCAGGTCAACGTCTTCCACAAAATTTCCATAATTTAGAGAACTGGATGATTTTTAGAGGGCTACCTATGTGCTAGAGAGTCAATATCATACCAAAATCGCAGCATAACAACTTTATTTCTTTAAAACTTCTTGCAAATTAATTATTAGATGTTCCACTGCATAACGGATACTTTTTTCCAGCATCCAATACTTTCTTCTATAACTGGATTCATTTTCTCAGTTTGAAATGAAAAAGAATGATGGTAAAATTTTCATAAGGAAAGCATTAGGCTGATTAGCAACTAAAGTATGGCCATTTTTTAACCTAGGAAAACAAACAAAGAAATTTAAGTTAACTGAAAATTGTCCTGAATGGACAGATCTATACACTGCTAAATGCTTGCCAAATGACATACAATACAAAATAATTTAATATAGTCAAATTAAGACCATTGTTGTTCTTTATAGTCTAAATAAACATCACAAGACTAAACACAGAATTAGAAATATAAGTGGTGGACAGAATAAAGTCAGTTTCTTGATAATCAAAGAAGGAATATGAAGAGGAATCATCAAAATTATTTTTTAACTTAAGAGAATAACAGTGTGTGGGTACACTGACAGACATTCCTTCGATAAAACAAAAAGTAGATTGACTTCACAGGCAAAGTTAATTTTATGTATGCGATGAACAGAGCACATTTATCCCATTCCTTAATATGATTTTTAACACACTCATACGTAGAGATGAATTTGTTGCTTTATGAAGCACCTATCTTTTTTTTTCTTGGAGTCTGTCTACATGACATTTAACAGCTGTCTGTAAACACTCAAACAAATAGTATAAACTAGACTTCTGAAAGTTAAACCAGATTTACCATAATCCTGACTCTATCTTAAAATTTCATATATGCCATGTTAATAGAGATGAGATAACTTAATCTCTAATATAACCAAAAAGAAAGATGTTTATTTTGGAATCAACAAGATTTTATGTCTAATCTTTTTGGGTATCACAACAAAACTTAAGTTTACTTTATGAACTTTACTTTCTGCTTATAAACTCTCTCAAAACTCATGAAATTTATTTTATACAGAGTCTTAGCACATTTGGCTACCTGCTTTTCCAGCACATAGCACTCTGGGAGAAGATAACAAAAGAACTAGCAGATTAGTTCTAATAACAACTCAGAAGTGGCAAAGGAGATGAAACTCCCCGCTACACTTGTCTTCTGAAAACTCTGGGGCTTTCTCAGAAGGAGTGGTGGCTGGGGGTAGCCGTGTGGGGGGGGGAGGGGGAGGTGAAGCCTCACCCTGCTGAAGCCCCAGCAGCAGTGACACTCACAACACACAGTCTCCAGCATATAAATGGCCCAGTTTCACAGCTTTACAACTAATTTCAGAAGAGACCCAAGCCTATGAAATGTCCAGGTATACAAGTCTTCAGGTTGAAAACTCTGAGCTTTCTTGAAATGGAGGCAGGAAGCATTCCCCAAAACCTCAAACCCCTTACTGCTGGAAGCTCCAGCATCCACACCCGCACCCTGCAGCCCAGTTTCACAGCTTCATGACTAATCTCAAGAGATGCCAAACCAGAGAATTGTTCCAGTTCTACAGCTCCTGGAGCATGCGGTCGCATGCACAGCTGGGACACTCCACATTCTACAATATTGACAGCCCAGTAGGAGCCCACAAATTAGATGGGAAAGGAGCATAGAAGCACACTAAGTTCAACAAACAAAGGCAGTGACGGAGAAGGCTTGGCTAGTAACAGACAGCTCAGCAAGTCCTTGGACAGTCACAGCAACACCATCATGGAATACAATTCTCACAAAATCAGGACTGGAGAGATAGACAGTACAGCATGTAGGGTGCTCACCCTGACTGTGGCCAATCTGGGTTCAATCCCCAGAATCCCATTTGGTCCCCTGAGCACTGACAGGTATAATTTCTAAGTGCAAAGTCAGGAGTGACCCCTGAACATCATAGGATGTGGCCCCCAAACCAAACCAGACCAACAAATTTAACAAACATTTTTAACTGAAGTATTTTTTAATTTAATTAACATCCTATTGTTACAAAGCAATATAAAATAAATTGTTGTATGCCTGCTAAGAGGGCAGGCTTGAGGGGTAGATGGGAAACCGGGGGCAATAGTGGAAGAAGGGTCACATTGATAGTAGGATTGGTGCCAGAACACTGAGCGCCCAGAATAACTGAATTATGAACAATTTTGTAAACCATGGTATTTAAATAAAGTTAGGGGAAAGTGTTTTTAAAAATAGGATCGGAGAAATAGCTTACGGGGTCAGAGCTATAGGAGACCCAGGTTTGATTCCAGCACCACATGGTCCCCTAAGCACCACAGGAGCAACACCTGAGCTCAGGACCAGGAGTAGCCTCTGTGCACCACTGGGTGGAGCACCTCCTGCCCAACTGCCCCCCCGCCCCCCCCCCAAATAAACTCAAAGTTTTTGAAAAAGATAAAAAATAAAAACCAATTTTAGAACTCTAAAATAAAGAGTTTATTTATGGCAGCAACAATTGTTCTTATGTAGTCTAATGGCTTATGTTGTATTTATATTCAAAATATATTCCTGAATCAAGAATAAAAGGGTTGGGGAGGACTGGAGAGATAGACAGTACAGCATGTAGGGTGCTCACCCTACATAGAGATAGTACAGGAGGTAAGGCACTTGTCTGGCATGCAACTGGTCTCTGTTTGATCCCCATTACTGGATAAGATCCCTGCCCCCAAGCATCACTGTGATGATACTCTTGAGCACAGAGCCAGAAATAGCCCCTGTGCAGTGTGGTCTCCCAGAAAATGAAAATAAAGATTAAAAAGGCTGTGACGACTTATTTAAAATAGAGAAGAACACACGAAATATCCATACTCCAGACCTTCACATGAGATATTAATTAAAGTATAACTGTAGCTTCATGAACAACATATATATTTTTCATTGTTTTATTTTTGGTGATCATGAGTATTTATTTTGTACAATATTCCCATATAAACTTTAAACTAATCTTCCTTTAAAGAGTCAAGTCAATAGAATTGAAAGCAAAAATAACATGTAATGACTTCGCCAGAAGTAGACTAACATTTAATTTTAGGACTTGTAATAAAAAAGGCATTGGTGCATAGTAGAAGACGCAGGAGTTTTAAAGTTGACAAACCAGAGCTACAGTCTTTACTCCAGTAGCTATGGAATTTAACCACTGGATACAGAATTTACCATGGGTATAAAATTTATCATGGGTACTTTATAAATTTGGTTCTCTCCTTTTTCCCTTCCTCCCTTTCTTCACTGTTTAAAAAAATTCAAGACTAGAGAGACAGTACAGGATTAAGGAGCCTACCTTGCAAGTAGAAGACACTGTTTTGAATTCCTAACATCACATATGATCCACCAGAAGTGAACCTGAGCACACAGCCTGGGGTAAGTCCTTAACTGCTAGATGTGGTCTAACCAACAAAAGATACTCAGTGCCACTGAAAAAATTAACAGTAAGTAAGCTGTTACAATGAACAATTACAATGAACAACCAATGTACTCAACCACTATTAGTCATCTGCACAACAAAAATGAATGGATTGACTAACTTTCTAACACCTGCTGGGGAGAGGGGTAACCAAGGTAATAATTTCCTTCACTGGACACCATAAACAAATATGTATAGGTACTAACTTTTTCAGATACTTTCCAAAAGTCAGACTGACATTAAAATATTACATAATTACCCAGAAATCATAATGCATTGATTCTTTACATCCTATGGTAAAAATATGCTGTGGAACACACAAAAAGATTTGACTCCAGTAAAGCTGTCTATATCTTTTGATGACGATATCTACGTTTCAGAGGTGGTATGTGTATGTGTGTGTGTGTGTGTGTGTGTGTGTGTGAGAGAGAGAGAGAGACAGAGAGAGAGAGAGAGAGAGATTAAAGTGAACTACACATATGGAAAGTGTTTGTCTATACACTTCACTTTACTGACTAAATAAATAATAAGACATCTCTCCTTGTTATCTTACTTATCACTTTTCAAAGCCCTCTTCAAAATTTTTTATGTTCCTCCTTCCCATTAAAACTGTGGAATATTTAGAGAGAAGGGTGCAATCAGTCAGCAGTCAGTTAAATTGTATTGTCTTCCAGAGACAGCAGTCCAGTAATTAGTATATGATGACTACATTAAAAATCTTTTAACCCTGAGGGCTGGAGCAATAGTACAGCAGGTAGGGTGCTTGCCTTGCATGTGGCTGACCTGGATCTGATTCCTGGAATCCCATATGGCCCCCCAGCACTGCTAGGAATGATCTCTGAGAACATAGCCAGGAATAGCCCTGAGCATCAGCAGGTGTGCCCCCACCACCAATTTTTAACTTTGAAAACAGAATACTCAAAAAACTTATATTTTACTTTGATTTTTGTATAAGATTTTCCACCCCAGTGATATTAAGTAAAATAAGAAGATCATTTACCTGCTTCCAGGGATCAAAGCTACACTAGTTACACTGAAATAAGATCAGACAACTGCACTCCACTGATTCCCTTAGTAATCTGCTCTAGTGGAAGGTACTTACTTGTCTTTTTTCTCTATCATCTGTACTTCCCACTCAAGTGATCTGGGAGTAACCAAGGTAATAATTTCCTTCCCTGAACTATTATTATGGGCCTAAAAAACATGTGTAACATCCTTCTCAATTTCTTTCATCCACTTGAATTCTGGAGATTTATTTTAAGACTGATCTGGTCTTTGCAAAGGAAGAAACATATTATGCTCCCTTTAGGTGTTTAATTTTATAAGTAAAAATGAATTTCTCATTTCATTTTCTATTTACATTCTCAGCAATATTTATTGTCACCTACTGTATGCCAAGTACACCACAAAATACTAAGTACAAAGATTTCCAGAACGTTTCTAAACGTTGTGAGATTAATTTCCATGGAATAAATGTAATTAAGCATATTCAACATTTATCTATCAAGAAAAACAAATGAGACAAATACAAAAACAGAAAACATAATTCTACAAAACCACATCCTAAATTACATGTAGTCCCAAACTATATTTAACATACGGAAAGTCAAACATACATGAGCTTTTTTTTAACTTCTCTACTAAAAAAATAAAACACCTTTTTTTTCTCTTGAGGATAGTTCAAAATATGGATAATCGATGTATTTTGGGAGAACCAAGGCAATTATCTACCTCTTCCACCATTTCTTCCTACCCCAAAATGTTCAGATAATATTCTATTAACTCTCTTAATATAGTAAATCCTTTTATTCTCTCAGGAAAGTCACAGGCTTGGCGTAGTGGCCCGTCCTAAACCACTGTAGCTACCAGTGGTTGCTAAGGAACTGGAGAGGACATGGTAAGAGCACACAAGGGTAGGAATTAATTAATCTTATACTTACTGGCTCAGATTTTTAAAATATTAAAATGTTTTTGTTCATGAGGTCAGAGAATCACAGAAACATCAAGACCACAGTGTAGGTTTCCTTTGCTGTCATTTACGAAGATGAATGAATTTGATCTGTTGGAAATCAACCTATTTGCCTCTATGTGCTATTCTTCAAAAATGCAATATCCTAATGCACAAAACTAATACAAACCAGAACTGCAGCTACCCCTTTGGTGAAACACAGGAAAACAATTATCTCCAAAATTAATTTTCTCAATTTCATTCAACTTAAACCAGTTTTAGGTGACATTTCTTTCTCTGTCATGAATTTGGAGAACTGTCATTCCCACATCTAAGTTTCAGTTTAATCAATACAAGCAAAGACAAAGGATAGAAATTAGTCCAAGAGATGTGCAGTTAAGAGAAAGTGTTAAAAAAAAAAAGCCCACTCCAGTGTCTTTTAAAGTTCTTATGGTTCAGTTCTCCCTTTCCTTCCCTCTCCTGCACACCCTCTTGCCTGCCCCCCCCCCGCGTCCCCCCGCCCCCCGCGCCCGCAGCCCACTTCGCCCAGACAGAGGGTAATAGTCTGAGCTGCCCTGGTTGAGTTGATCCTAAAGTTAACATTCAGCAGCCCATTTCCAGACAGCAGCGCTAAATCTATTTGGATAAAACGCGTGTGACCCAGACAGTTGGCATTTGGCCCAAACGCGTTGCACCGGCAGCTCAAATAAAAACAAGAGTAAGAAACTCACTCTCTTGTTCCTTCTCTGAACGCTTTCTCACTCTCTTGCTCTCTTTGCCTCTGGTACAACAAGGAAAGAAATTACCAAAGATAGGAATCGTAGTGCACATTATCAGAAGGCAGATTTCCAAAACCCGTCCAGCACTCCGCTCTTACCCACCCCCATCCCTGAACTTTGATCTCATGGACCATATATACAGACATACCCCATATTCAAAGCTCCGGATGGTTACGCGTCTAGCACGTCCCAAGTGGCCAAAAGTAAATCAAAAACACACGCTTCCATCTCTTTGATTAGCCTATTAAGAGCTTAACATATCCTTGAGCATCAGGGCTACAGCTAGCACTTTAACTCTGCCCTCTGAGCCTAGGCATAAATATGCACTTGTCTGACTACTTAAGATACTGACACAAAACTATAAAATGTGGAGGGTTTATGTGTGTGCTTTTTTTAAAAAAAAGAAAAAAGAAAACTAAGAATCAGTTTAAAATACACATCATTATTACTTTCCCGATGACTGCTTAGTGAAACCACCACAATTAATTAAAACGCCACAATAAGCATAATCAAGCCATACTTCACAAAACATGTCTATTCATATAATTAACTGGTCTTGGTTTTTGCATCAGAAAATTCCTGCACAGACGCAGAATCTTCCAACCCCCACTAGTCTGGAGTTAAAAAGATTTCTATCTGTAAAATGAGTTCAGTCAAGCTCACTCATTGCTATTAAAACGCGCGCACACACACATACACACACGCACGCAGACACATACACTCACACAAAGTTTTCTAGACGTTATTCGGAAGACAAGCAAAGCACAAATTTAATTCTTTTTAAAAATGGTTTCATTGTATATCGTGAAGTCTTCCTTACCGTTTTCATCTTCAAATTCTGATAAAAAGTAAGTTTCAAACAATAGAGATTGCACTGGACGACTCACGTACTCCCTCTCCTTCTCTCTCTCTCTCTCTCTCTCTCTCTCTCTCTCTCTCTCTCTCTCTCTCACTCTCTCTCTCTCTCTTCCCCCTATCCCTTTTTGCAAAGACACAGCAGTCAGTTATTCTGCAGCCAGAATAAAACCCTATAGTCTGGCTAACCGGGCTTTAGAGAACGGATGTTCCGATTTAGCAGGAAAAAGAGATGCCTTCAATACATCCAGGCTATCCTGAGATACTGCCTTTGCAAACCCCCTTTTTCTGCCCCCCTCTCAAAATAAAGAAATAAAAATAAAGGAAAGGAAGCGGGAAGAAAGAAAGGGGGGAAAGACTTATTGGGGGTGGAAGTGGTACCCTCTCTTCCTGGACAGCTTGGTGCCTTTGCTATGCAAATAACATGTGAAGAGCATCAAAAGGTATCAGGAGAAAAGAAGACAAGAGGAGCAGGAGGGCAGCAAAGTTTTGTTGAAGTAGCCTAAATCTCACTACCGGCCCCCAGCCAACTCGAATTGCAGAAGAAAATTTTGGCAGCTTTTCCTCGGAGGCAGAACACTGACGTCAGTCTGCAGATGTGCCTTCGGGTGCGCATGTGTCCTGGGTCGTCACGTGGAGGGGGAGGGGAGGTGGAGGTACAATCAGGGTAACCCACTACCAGCCAGCCATTCAGGAGGGCTTAGACAATGTCAACTTTTCCACCCTTGAATGAGAATTTCTGGCCCTCCTAGCCTCGATCCCTTACCCCACTCCTTCTCCTTCCTTTCTCCTTTTCTAACCTCCTTTTGGAAGTTCTGGTCCGGTTTGTGATCAGTTCTTTCCTGGAAAAAAGGAAGGGGGGCGGGAGAGGATGAATGACTTTAGATGAGCGGACGTCACCGTTGAGACCTTTGGTGGCTTTTTCCGTGGGTTTTTATTAAGTCCACGAAGAAAAATATTCCAAGTTGCACCGAAACGATATCTCCGGGGAAGGTTTCAGCAAACGCAGATCAGGGGCGTATTCCAAGCGTGTGTAGCTACACGTGCACAAAATGTCTGTGCTTTAAAAATACACCTTAACAAGGAAGAGAGCCACCAAAAGCGAGAGTAGACGAAAGGAAACTAAGACCAGCGCATTTTCCGTCTTATTACCGACTTCAGGTTACGTGGGGCTTTTAAAGGGGGGAAAACGTGGGGAAGGAAGAAAGGGTGGGTGGGGGGCGGGGGGGAGCGAAAGAGAAACTTGCATTATTTCCAGATGAGGGTGAGGCTGGATGGTGTTTTAAAGTGCAACCGGGAAAGCTACAAGTGGAGTGTATTTTTTTAAGTCAGGACATTGAATGAAACTTCAACGATTGCCCAAATGAAAATAAATCTGAAGTCGGACCCCAAAAGGGTGGTGGGAGGAGGGAGACAGGAACCCCGCTGCGATCTCAAGATAAACAAACAAAACCTCAAAACTGGTTCTTCAAGCTTCCCCATCCCGCTCTCCCCCTCCTCCCACCCGCACCGCCCCGGAGCACAACAGCTGCCATCCCGTCCTTTAAGGATAAAACGCTACAACGTAGCGCTTTCACTTTCAGTTGCCCGGGAGAGCTACTGGCTTTAAACTGAGGGTACCCGAATATGTTTTTCACTGTCCTAAGCAAGCACACAGTTTGGCACACGAATCGGAAACAGGCAAGGAGGGGGGAAAAAGAAAAAGTGAAAATAGCTCCGGACAAATATTGCCTTTCAGCGGTTGAATCGGCTGCATCTTTTATTTGTCCCCGCCGTTAAGTGCAGGGTAGGGAGTTGTTTAAGAGTTTCCAGAGTTTGGGGGGTTGGGGAGAAATAGCACTGATGCCCTGAAATTCCAGTCCAAGTCAATTTCCGACGGCCAGAACCAGAAAGGAATGGATCTGGGGGAAGGAGGTGGGGAAGAAAATTTCTGAATACTGGCTCTGAAGTTTCAAGCTTCTGCTAATATTATTGCTCGCTTGATTTTTTTTCCCCCTTCCTACACCGGAGGTAGTAGGTGTAATTCTTCTGGTGAATACATGAATAGTTGGCTAAAAGAAGGCATGAATCACACCGAGAACGTCCAAGAACAGAGTTATTTCCATTCTTATTGAGGGTTGAAAGGAGAAAGCATCTGTCCACAGTCAACAGACCGTGTGGACCTTTATCAGTAGTAGCTGGCTCAGTGCCATTTTTAGCGAAGAAATAAGGACTCTGGTTGGCAAGTGACAGTTTTAAATACAGATGAATTATATAGAGCTTTAGATACAGATGTATTAGAATACATCTATTCTAATCTATGGCTAATTTCCTAGTTAAACACCCAACCAGATGAGTAGACACAACTGGTTTCACATCTCTCCACACTTTAAATGGCTGTTGTGAACTTTATTTTTTAAAAAATTTAAGAACTGGTAGTAGACAAAAACAGCCAAGTAATAAAAGTAAAGTTAAATAGTCATCATCAATAAAAGCTACCTGGAAAGTTTTAACTTACTTTAAGACAAATTACCTAGGAAGAGGCAGTATTGTAAAGGCAAGGAACTGACACAGTGAGTGAACTTTGGCTAATTACTAATTCAAAGAGTGCCATCCTGCGTTTAAACAGAGTAATGAAAAATTTCCAACAGGTTCTTTTTTCTCCTCAGAATGACTGAATTAAGAAAACAGTATGAACAAAGATGGGTGAGAATTAGGGGACTGGGGCACGTGTCACTCTTTGGTATTGAGGGATAAAAAAAACTATTAATGAGAAACGGTGAAGTGTCCCTTTAACTTCACTTATACTTTAATTGTTTTACAGAAAATGTAAACACATACAAAAGTAGAAAAACAGTACAATACACTCCAATACACCCATCATGCAGTTTCAAAAGTATCAATACATAAACATTTTTCATTTTTTTCCCTTACTTGCTCCATCCTACCAGATTATCTTAATGTCAATCCTAGAGAAATATTCATTGCATTAATAAAATCCCTGTATTTTAAAAATATAAAGACAAAAAATACCCTAGTACTGTGCTACTATGAATGTTAAAATATTAATAATTCTTAAATTTGACCACATATTAGATTTCTTCAATATAAAATAGGCAAAATTGCTTTTATTGCAATGAACATTCATATATTGAAAGATCCATATAAGGTTGGTCTCTTTTTTGTCTCTTAAAGTAGTATTAAAATAGAACATTTAATAGCTGAGATAAATACCAGGAGGTTTACTCCATGGCTTGGAGGCCAGCCGCACATGCTAGGGGAAATGGCAGCTCAGATAGAGAAGGAAGCACCAAATAAAGGGGGTTGGGAGGATCCTCTCAGGATGGGAGATGCATGCTGAACTTAGGCTATAGGCCAAACATGATTGCTACTCAATGCCTCTTTTGCAAACCACAGCACCCAAAAGGAGAGAAAGAACAAAAGAGAACACTCAGCCACAGAGGCAGGGTGGAATGGGGGGGATGGGGGAGTGGGAAGGATACTGGGATCTTTGGTGGTGGAGAATGAGCACTGGTAGAGGGATGGGCACTTGATCATTGTATAACTGAAATCCAAGCACAAAAATTGGTAAGTCTACAACTGTACCTCATGGTGTTTACTAATAAAAATTATTAAAAAATAGAACATTTATATAGGAAAATACATTAACATATGGCTTGTTAAAATATACTGTCTAATAAATTTCAGTGAACATGCCCATGTAATCATGTAATTCTCATAACCTATTGATTTCCTCATTCCTTCTTAATATTGCCATATAAATACAATATTAATACCATGACATTCTAATGCTACATATAGAATTTTAGTAGCAATTATGATGCATTATTTCTCAACTGAAGTATATGAAATAAGTATAAATTAACCCTAAATAAATTTCAGCGGTAGGGCGTTTGCCTTGCATGCAGCCAACATGGCCGACCCAAGTTCGATTCCTCCGCCCCTCTCGGAGAGCCCGGCAAGTTACCAAGAGTATTCGATATGCCAGACACAGTAACAACAAAGTCTCCAATGGAGACGTTACTGGGCCCGCTTGAGCAAATCGATGAACAACGGGAGGGCCTTTACTTTACTTCAGTTTAAAGGATAACTAATAAAAATGTGCTAATCTGAAAATAAATAAATAAATAAATTTCAGTTTAGCTAGGAATTCTACATCTTCATAGTGACCATTCCTTTGCTTTCTAAAAATCTTCCCTCCAGTTTTTCATTTCTTTTCGTGTTTCATTGAAAAATGAAGATTAAAGGCAGATTAGAGTAGAAAGTTGTCCTTGTCCCTAAAATAAATATCAGTTTTTGGGAACCAATTAAACCTAAATGGAGAGGACATCTTCAGGAAATATAGACTAAATGGATATTTGTAAGAGTAAAAAATTCGGTGTATATATGTATGCATTTGATAAACTGAAAATGGAATAATAACAAAGGAGTTTGAGAGGCAAAAAACAGAAACTTTGAGATTAAGAACATATTCTAGGTATATGTATATATATTATATATATAGGTATATGTATATATATTGTTTTTTGTATCACATTCAGCTGTGCTCAGGGCTTATACCTGACTCTGAACTCAGGACTCACTCCTAGCAGGGCTTGGAGAACCATTTTGGAGGCTGTGGATCAAACCTGGGTGGCCCAATGCAAAGCAAGCGCCCAAATCTCTATTCTATCTTTCCAGCCTCTATTTTCAATTTTTAATTTGTGGGTCACACCCTGTGGTGTTCAGGGTACTACCAGCTCAGTGCTCAGGAATCACCCCTGACTGCACCAATGGTACCATGAAGTACTAAGGCTCAGGCTCATAGCTCGTGTGTGCACAGCATGAACTCCAGTGCATTAAGCTATCTCTTTGGCCTACTTCTAAAAATATTTTAATATACTGTAATATTTTTTTCAGTAAAAAACAGGGTAATTCTTAAAAGTATATTGCTTAAGGTTTAAAAAAATGAATAATTTTTGTTTCATGCTTGCTTGGGATTATTACATTTGCGCAAAAACAACCTAAAAAGATGATACATTTTGAAGTTGACCTTCCATAAATTAAAGCCAAA